AAAATGGGTGGTGTGCCAACCACAGTAGCTACATTCCTAGGTCTAGATAACCCTAAACGGTATACGAGTCATAGCATCCGTCACACTGCAGCTTCATTGTTTGTTGAGGGTGGTGGAACTATGGAGGACCTGAAGAGGCTTGGCGGCTGCAAGAGCGAGACTGCAGCCAATGGATATGTCACCCATTCAAAATCAAGCAAGGAGAAGATTTGTGAGAAAATCATCAGTTCGATCAACCTGCCTGGCCCAAGTGCTACGTCAACGTCAACTTCCCCACAGCCAGCAGCATCATCCATAACGAAGGTCACTAACTCCACCGCTGGATCAAGTTCAACTACATCTTGGCCAGATGTAACTCCTACAAAAGCCAGTGCTGGCTCTAACTCTAGGCCCAATGTAGATGGATCATTGGATAAAGTACCTTCCACAGTCACTGGTGACTTTTATTCAGCGAATCGATCAGTGCTAAACTCAGAAGAGTCTAAGGGTAATAAAGAAAACAGCAAACCTCTTGAGAATCAGATGCTCGGTCAGGAATTTCGTTTACAAATCAATAATTGCTCAAATATCACTTTGAATACCACCAAAAAAGATGATTGTTAAATCTCTCCATTGCCAAAAATCTGATTATTCTTTTCTCTAAACTTAAGTGCAAAGAAATCTGTTGATTTTCCTTTAAAAAATCTAATAGCGAAACAAGACTGTGCAGATAAGAAAGAGTTCGCTGGATTTTAAGTGTTGATTTTTTGTATTTCACTATTTTTCAGAATCATATAATTATTAAACATTCGTATTATTCAAGAGAAAACTTAAATAATTTTGTCGAGACTATGTAATCTGCGTAATAGAAATCTGTTGGTTTTCTTGAAAAGGAAATCTACTAGCGAAACAACACTGTGCAGATAAGGAAAAGTCTCTTAGATTTTATATGTTCATTTTTGCATTGCTCTATTTTCCAAAATTATATAATTATTAAACATTCATGTTATTCAAGAGAAAACTTGAATAATTTCGTTGAGACTACGTAATCTGCGTAGTAGAAATCTGTTAGTGTTCTTAAAAAGAAAATTTACTAGCAAAACAAGACTGTGCAGATAGGGAAGAGTCTCTTAGATCTTATATGTTCATTTATGCATTTTTCTATTTTTCAAAATTATATAATTATTATACACTCATGTTCTTCAAGAGAAAACTTAAATAA